AAGGTTTACGCAATCGAAATGATTGATTTTGATTTTATCAAATATATCTTGATGAACGGCATAGAGTGACGTGACCAAAAAAACACTCACTCATGAAATTCACGAAAGTAATTGTTTGGTGAAAGTAGGTGTTCAAAGGTACTTATCCATATTAAGTAACATTATATATTGTGAAAACAATGTTTGTTCTTTTTTATTAGTTTATTTCATTTATACTGTGGGCCTTAATAGAAAAAAAATCAACGCAGTCTGATTATATGAAGAATATAATACATGTACATGAAACAGCCATTGTAAATAATGCGGGCCTTTCCCACGTGCACGAAATTATAGCCAGCAAAAAATGATGAGCTCCCAATACCGGGGCCGAACAATTAATGCATGTATTGAGTACCTATCAATTCTGGGAACACGATGACCGCCAGCGCCACTTGCATAGTGACGTTTTAGCCGATTTTCGGCTAACTTTGACAGATTTTTTTGTTGAAAAACGAGTCAGACAGAAATTTGGCAGAATGGGATTTTTTGGCAGATTTCTGGCAGATTTTGCAAAAATAATTATTTGCTTCAATGTTCATGTATATCAATTATCATACAATTTAAGGTAATCGTGTATATTGTAATAATTATACTTTAGGACCCCCCCCTTATATTTTATTTCCCTTCATAAATAACATGCCCTATTCCCACAAAATTAAGCCAGCTGATTCAACATTATCTTGGCGAACTATGACGATATACATGTACATGTACTGTGTAGCCAAACGTTTAGGTCCTAAAACAAACATAATAATATAGGAGTCTATTCGTTCTCTTAATGAAACAGAGCCCTTATTAGCACACTAATTTAAGCTTTATTTCCTAAAAAGTGCACAAGAACAATTAAGCATATTAGAATGCTCGAACCCTAATGGAGATATTTGACGAGAAGAAAATTATAATATGCATGTATGTATAATTTATATTCAAAACCGCCCCTAGCAATACACATTGCAGTTCTAAGCTGTCCGAGTTTAAATGTTAAATGCCTCGTTTTGTGATAGTGTGTGGGCTAAGTTTCGCCATCATGTATTTTGTAATCAGTGTATTAAAGATTAAATTGATTTCGTTTTTTTTAACAACAGGTGTTTAATAGTGTTACATACGCCAATCAGGTCCATCAGAATGCAAATCATAGGTCCCCAATTATCCTCCTGTTGAAAAAGTGTAGCATACAAGCCGTGAAAAATTAAAGCATTCTCATAGTTTCCAAAATAACCCAAACAGCATGACATAATAATAAATAAACAATTTCCGGAAAAAAATAATACAAGAATAAAACTGAGTACCGATTTTAGGTTTAGTTTTACAATTTCCCAATCCAAAGGCAAATACCGATCTATTAGGCCAAAAAAAAAAAATATTCGGTCTCTGGTCAGACCACAGTTCCGGAATTGACGCGGCCATGCGGCTTTTTTTTTTTTTTTGGCTTTTTTTTTTTTTTCTTCAAGCTTGGATTGTACAGACAAAGTGGGGTACTATTTTGTTTTTTTGGTGTCCTCGTGCACATTGGTGTCCTCCATAATTTGCCTTGGTGCTTTTGATCATTTGCCTTTGTGCAATTTCCCATTCCTTGGTGCTCTTTGGTAAAAAAAAATTGAGGTGTGGAAATAGAGGGTGCTGTTGGAGCTACCGTGGAACATTTTGGGAAAAAAAAAGATCGACGCGCATGATTAAAATCGACGCGCGCGCTGACCAGAGACCGACTTTTTTTTTTTTTGGCCTTACTGTTGATTTTTTTTTAATATAAAATATTTTAATAATAATATGTGAATAATAGTCAAAGGAGTGAAAATACGCAACAGAGTAGAGCTGAATGGGTCTCCATCGGTCTCTCGAAGCAATGTGCCTTTTTAACACCAGCATTTTCTGATTTTAACCCCTCCAACTGCACATTCTCAGTCTGTTCCAGACAGGGACTGCAGCGTTGATGAAAGTTGGCTGATTTACGACATAAAAAAATGCACAATTAGACATTTTAACAAAACTAATTAATGAGCAGGCGAAATCAATCCCCCTGCAATTTGAAAACGTCGAACGGAAAGACATTTTGTTATTTCAGCGTCATCAAATCACCCGAACACAGTGAAGAAGAAAAAAAAATGAATCACAATATACCTACCAATAACTTAGTTATGGTAAATTAATTACAAAAATACTTTAGAATTTCATGGCGAGTAGAATCCATATTATATTGAAGCAGGGATCACGACGGCAGCAGAGCTGAGCATGTGGTTTGTGAGCCCAACAACCTGCAAAGTGAACAGCCGCCGGCAACTCCAAAAGATGGCTAGCGCGAAAAGGGTATTGCTGGTTTGGCTTCTTGCAAAAACAAGAGCGTGGGAACTTGTCTAGCACAAGACAGACAGGTAGATCGTCATGACGACGAAATGTCACCACCAATGCGATGCTGTGCATACATTCCCGCCAAACTGGAGTTAACTGACGGGCAATAAGACCCGCCCTAACATCCCTCGTATAGGTTGACTGGCGCAAGGCATAACCATAGTAACATTATTGTCAAGGATATCTAGTGACGTGTGTCGGCTTCGTAAATATTCATGATACAGTTTCTAAACTGCATGGTGGAAGTTGATTACCCGTTCTCTTCAGTTTATTGCTATTACATTTTCTGTCCAATTCTGTAACGAAATTTTCATATGTATTTTTGGAGAAACGGGAAATGATTGATTCCATCCTAATTGGACGCTTTTTAATATTCCTCTAAAATAACGGTTGATGTTTAAATTGCTTTTGCGGTCATTATGCATTAAAAGTGAATTATTTTTCGGCTCCAATATTTGGTCTGGGTGCAATAAAATAAAATTTATATTGAAGCCTCCTTCTAAAGTGGATTTGTTTTATATTGCTATAAAAAAAAGGCATTTCAAAAAAGACGGAAGTATTAATTTTCGAACAGAAACTCTGAGCACGGGGGGGGGGGGGGGGGGGGATCGAGAGCAATTTGAAGTTGTTTTTATTGATAAACGTATTAGGCCCGATGGATTATTCACTAATTCTACATTACGAAAGAAAAATAGAAAGGACTACATGCAGACAACATCTCCAATAAATAAGTTCTATAGAATGCAGAAATCAGAAGCCATGGATAGTACACTTTTCCATATCACGACAATCGGTCTTAATTATATTAAAAAAGAAGAAGGTGCAATTCATGTACAAATAATTTAATTAGATCGTATTTTGAGGGAAAATGCTTCCTGACAATACATTATTGCAGTCTTTGGAATTGATGAATACTGCAGGGTTAAATATTGCCCAAGCCAGGGTCAAGAAACATGCGGTGTGGAATTTTCATTCCGATTTCACGAAGTTGATTTCCACTTGTCAACATTTGCCACCTATCAAAAAACAAATCTCAGGAAAATATTCGGGAACACAGCGCCTTGCTCTTGGTTTAATAACAAATACCGCCGACGCAACAAAGCCTGAATATTACCGGAGCACTGAACAGAAGCTGGTTTCACGAACTCTGCGTACGATAGGTTCGCGCACTTTGCGAACTCAGCGGCTGTAGCATATTAGCATAGTTTTAGCATAACAAAGGCGCATTGTCATGCGATGCAAATGAACCTGGAGAGCTCGATGTTTACTCCTAACTTGGGATCAAAATTAGTTCCCGAACCTTCGCTGACCTCGCGAACAGTCATTTTTGAAGCCTGCCCTTAATCAAGTGGGTCAAAATCATGGACAACCTGTTCAGTTAGTGTTTTAACCTGTCTCTGCACTGGACTTTTTTGGGAAGGTTTTACCAAGACGATGGTAAAATGAAAAATTGTCAAAGGTAACCACTTTCCGCCCTTGGACTTTTGACACGGGACATTTTACCCAGACCGCGTGGTAGAAGTAACTAAGCTGTCAGTTTAATGACTCACATCCAGAAAAAAAATGCCAATCTTGCTATTCAGCCCCTGATAGGCACAGTATATTACACACACCATTTACAAGCACAATATAATCGTTTCACACGACATTATTTCATTTTGACATGCTCACTCTTGATGAACAGGCCTATATTTCTGACACATTGATGATCAAAATGCACATGCCATTGAAGCCATGCTGCTGTACGATGTTCTGTGGGGCATTGTCTGATAGCTGGGACATTTACAGTGCAGTGTCATTGGTATTCACTGGTTCCCACCGCATGCTAACAGAATCAAAGCTATGATGTAAGACCGGAACCAGTGACTATCAGTGCATGACTACATAGCGTAACAGGAATTTGTATCATAGAAAATACCAAACAAACATCTTTAGAGAAAGAAAATTTCTGCAAATTAATTGCAAGAACGTGATCTCTCTTGTCTGTTATGTGTTTTCCATAATATTTACAAATGTATAACAAGATTTTACAAAATATTTGGCAACAGCTCGTGGGTTTGTGTCCCTGTGTACATGCATGGCCTCGCTCTCGGGCTGGATGTACGTTTTCCTGAGCCGTTTCGCACAGTCTACACTGGACTTATCGTCTCGGGAAAAGTGACCGGGTCAGTTTTCCTGGGCAGCAGTTGGCCAGTAGATTAACTGCTGGACTCGGGAAAAGTTACTGAGAGGAAAAGATCCAAGGCTGTCTGCACAGAACTTAAAATGGGAAAAGTAAATTGCAGCAAACCTGTGGAAAGAAATCTTCATGATCACCTTTTGTCCAAATTTATTTATCTATGCCACACAGCAGTTGCCTGCTGTGGGTACCATATGTAAAAAAAAAATAATACTCATTTTCATTGAGCAGACAAGGGTTTTAATTTGCATATACTTATGTAAAACCCTTGTCTGCTCAATGAAAATGAACATTATTTTTTTCAGGTATTTTATACTTGTATAAAATACCTGGAAAAAAATGGTTCAAAATTACAGCCTGCATGTACATGTATATATCATTATTTACAGACTACATGGACCTTCAATGTGCCTTTTAAAATTTTTACAATTTGTAGACCACCCTGCCATCATTCAGTGACAGTGAGTTTTCAGTCCAGCGTGAGCATGAAGAATTTGTATGGCTTCACACAATGTATGTAGAGAACGAGGATTACGGTGGCATCGTGGTAAGTTACGTTAAGGAGAATACACTCGCAAGTGTGGATTCTTAATTTAAGAATTCACGAGGCGCGAAGCGCCGAGTGAATTCGTAAATTAAGAATCCACACTTGCGAGTGTATTCTTCGACTTAAACCATTGCGTCAACAGAAGTACTTAAAAGAATGTTGCAACCTGACGCCAATTTTTCTTCTTCATATATCATCTCAATGAAGGTCATTCGTTGCAAAAATTACGATAAGACATGAATCTGGGACTGAGAAATGTTTCCAATTTTGTTTGAAATACTTGAAATGACTCTCCACGTGACCAACTTTGTACACAACCGCGGAAGTGGCGGCAGGTTGCATCATTTTTTCCTGGCGTGTTTAGCATGTGTATTGCCACACCCGTACAAACAAAGTCATTTTGTGTGTACATGTATAGGCTCCTTACGTCAAAATGGATAGTTCAGAAGACGATTTCTTTCTGACTAAAAGTATATTTTGCAGTGACGGCGGCGAATGTGACGGTGAAGATGCATTGGTAATTTTCAGAAAGCAAATTTTCACGCAGACGGTCCTATTCATGCTCATTATGGGGAACATTATTGTCCGATGTGTTCAAAGTGTGGATTGGTAATTCCGAATCCACACTTTACTAAAGATTCGTCGTTCCGAATCCACACTTTGTGACCAGTGTAAGAGATTCTTTCTTTTTGTGCTGTTTTTTTTTGGCTTTTTCGCAATTTTGCTAAAAAGCCTTTGTTTCTGTTCTCATTTTTTTTTTTTTTTGGCTTTTTCGCAATTTTGCGAAAAAGCTTTTCTTTCTGTTCTCATTTTTTGTTTACCTGTTCCCAATTTCAATTGGTAACAGCTATTGTTTTCGTTAAAGTTTTTTTAAACTGTTCCCAATTTCAATTGGGAACAGCTATTGTTTTCGTTAAATTTTTTTTTTTTTTTTTTTTTTTTCCTTCACTTTTCCCCATAGGTTTTGTACACGTTTTTATTCTACAAGCCACTTTGGCAATTATTTTAAATCCGATCAACTTTAAACTCAGCATAGTTATTAACCATCATCTGAGGATGTATGCCGAAACTTTTTGTCATGCTGACGTCATCACGTGATTTATTATAGAATTTTGAATATTTAATTTTTCCCATAGACTTTGTACACAGATATTTTTAAAAAAATGTCAATTTTCAGAGGGCATTTTCGACTCTTTGCCAGTAATTCATTTACACCAATCTTTGTCCAAGCAAAGACCCTTATTCAAACAACATTGTGTAATGATGACGTCATGATGACGTCATCCGGTGTTTATTTATAGGCAATTAAATTTTTACACTTTTAATATTTAAAAATGCATAAGAAATCCACCGTACGCGTCCGCAGCATTCTGTTGCCGGAAAGTGGTAGAATAGGTTAAGGTCTTTATTTCATTCAGTGTGCGTGAAATCACGTGACCCTTGCTTCCGGTCGAAAAAGGCCAAAACAGGAAGTGGCTTATTATTTGAAAACGGTAATAGATATGAACTTGCTTTCAACGGTGTTAGTCTCTTGGCTAAAAGTATTCTTCAAATCATCTACCAATGACGTCATGCAATCTTCGAGCGCCCTCTAGCTACAGGTTGAAAACTTGCAAAAATGTATTTTGAATAGATGTCTGTGGCGAAATTTGTCGGAATCGCCTAAATATTGGTGTATATGATGACCTTGACCCACTTAAGACGTGTGCGAAGTTTTAGGCGAATGACGTCATCAGACCGGAAGTTATAATAAAAAGACCTTTTTTCATTTGAAAATTCCTGAAAAATCAACCATGGCAGTTTTTATGTTAGTTTTTACTTTAATTGTCGATTTAAGCATAGGTCTAACATATTTCAAAGCTTTGAGGCAATAAGCAAACTCGGACATGCCCTGTGCACGCTAAAAACTTCAGGTTGACAATACCTCTGCTTTAAAACATGCACAGGACGTCCACAATGTACATGTACATGCACGTACATTGTACGTTGTACATATCGTACGTCAGTCAGCCCGCACACAGCGCACGTGTTGCTGAAGTCAAATCCTGTCCACAGTGACAGTTTTAGCCGATTTCCGGCTAACTTTGACAGATTTATGTTCATGCATAGTGATAGTCAGGGACGTTGATAAAAACAAATCATAATACGGAAAGCCCTATCTTCTGTTGCAAACAGACATAGATCTCTACTTAGGCGTAAAAAAAAGAAAGTGTTATGTTGGCGTAACCCGACCGACCCTAAAAATGCGGCCGACCCTGGATATTTTTTTTTTTTTTGGAGGGAAGAAATATAATTAAAATCTATAGAAATGAATTTTAAATACGTTTTGAAACCATTTCTGACCGTTTCTCCTCAATTGTATGACGATAGCGCGCGTGGAACTTTGGAGTGCACAATGTTTTGCACCTTCCTCTCCATGACACAACGAACATGCAGAAGATCACGCAGGCCTACAGGCAGTGCGCGTGCGGAGATCGCGCCGATGCACGATGCATGCATGATAGATGCACATGTACATGTACAGTACATGTATAGCCTCGTCCTAGACTGTTGCACGGTGCGAACTGCTACATACACTATTGAAAATACTTCGCTATTTATTCCATGTTAAAAAAATAGTTCATTATAATATAAATTATTTTAATTAATTTTCCACTATTTTACACGATAACAATTGATATATATTTATTTTAAAAATGGTGAACTATTCTGTAACCCCGGCGGCCGACGCGACCCGGCCGGCCCCCGGCCCGTGGTTACGCGCATATGCCGTCGCATCATGGCGCCCGGTACCGAAGCGTACAGTGTTTCCATCAAGGGCAAATGGGGATCTTCGGTCATTTTCGACCGTTTAATGTGGATAAATTTGAGTCTAGAGCTGGGGGTAATCGCCCAGAGCTGTGCCGATGGTGTAAAAGCGGGTTACACCGTGCTAAAAATACAAACTTCAAAGGAAGAATCGGGTCCATATAAAGATGTCGACGCAGATGAAACGGCTAACATTTTTTTCTGATTTTGGATTCCGCTTTTGGATATGTACCTTTGGAAAGGTTGATGATGAGTTTAAAAGTATACAAATATTGTGTGTAGCCTTGTTTTCTTTTGTTATCGTGTACTACTACCGGCTTAATGTCATTTTCGTTGCTGGGATTAAAAAAAAAAAAAAAAAAAAAAAAAAAAAAACGACCTACCTACCCTATTTTTTCTGGCCCGTTACGCCAACATAACTTCTTTTTTTTTTAGGCCTTATATGTCTATGGGTCCAACAGATAATCAATATTGGGAACAGCTCTGTGGTTGTTCACAACCACAATTTCTAGTTTTTTCCTTTTTAGCTGTTCCCAATTTCAATTGGGAACAGCTCTTGTTTTCGTTAAAGTTTTTTTTTTTCCTTTTTTTTTTAGCTGTTCCCAATTTCAATTGGGAACAGCTATTGTTTTCGTTAAATTTTTTTTTTTTTTTTTTTTTTGGGCTTTTCCGCATAGTGCGGAAAAGCCTTTGTTTTTGTTCTCATTTTTTTCTTCTTTCTTCTTCTTTTTGTCACCTAAATCCCATAGACTTTGTACACGGTTTTTCTGCTCACCACTTTTGGCATTAATCTTTGTCATACATCATTCAAAGTTAGCATAAGCATAGTCCCTATAGCAAAGATGTGTCCCGAAGATTGACGTCATGGTGACGTCTTCGACTAATTTATTATAGATTTTTGAATATTTAATTTTTGCCATAGACTTTGTACACAGAAATTAAAATATAATTGTCGATTTTCAAAGGGCATTTTTGACTCTTTGCCAGTAATTCATTTACACCAATCTTTGTCCAAGCAAAGACCCTAATTCAAACAACATTGTGTAATGATGACGTCATGATGATGTCATCCGGTGTGTATTTATAGGCAATTAAATTGTGACACTGTAAATATTTAAAAATGCATAAGAAATCCACCGTACGCGTCCGCAGCATTCTGTTGCCGGAAAGTGGTAGAATAGGTTAAGGTCTTTATTTCATTCAGTGTGCGTGAAATCACGTGACCCTTGCTTCCGGTCGAAAAAGGCCAAAACAGGAAGTGGCTTATTATTTGAAAACGGTAATAGATATGAACTTGCTTTCAACGGTGTTAGTCTCTTGGCTAAAAGTATTCTTCAAATCATCTACCAATGACGTCATGCAATCTTCGAGCGCCCTCTAGCTACAGGTTGAAAATTTGCAAAAATGTATTTTGAATAGATGTCTGTGGCGAAGTTTGTCGGAATCGCCTAAATATTGGTGTATATGATGACCTTGACCCACTTAAGACGTGTGCGAAGTTTTAGGCGAATGACGTCATCAGACCGGAAGTTATAATAAAAAGACCTTTTTTCATTTGAAAATTCCTGAAAAATCAACCATGGCAGTTTTTATGTTAGTTTTTACTTTAATTGTCGATTTAAGCATAGGTCTAACATATTTCAAAGCTTTGAGGCAATAAGCGAACTCGGACATGCCCTGCGCACGCTTAAAACTTCAGGTTGACAATACCTCTGCTCTAAAACATGCACAGAACGTCTATATGTACATACACGTACGTTACGCACATACATCTTATGTCAGTCAGCCTGCAGAGCACGTGTTGCCGAGGTCAAATCCTGTCCACATCACAGTGACCGTTTTAGCCGATTTTCGGCTAACTTTGACATATTTTATGTTCATACATGCGCATAGTCAGGGACGTATAATAAAAAATCATAATGCCGAAAAGCCCTATGTTACGTATTTAAAGGTGCAGTTTTTCTGCAGTGGGATTTTCCACTTTTTCTTTTCCTATACAACACTGATATCTTACTGAGTAGTTCTGAACTTTAGCCGAGAATTTCTATGAGAAGGAAAGAGAAATCGTAGGTTTTTCGCGCTGTCATTCGATTGAACATATTCCTAAGGGTCAGAATATCAAGTAATATTTCATAAAAATGTTTCAGTTCAAAGGCAAATTACAAATGTAAAGGTGCAATTTTTCTGCAGTG